GAAATGAAGGTATTAATACTCTAATTCCAGCTTCTTTTTTAAAAAGTTCTATCAATAAAACTGGCCGAAAGCTCTGAATTTGGATTTCAGAGACAGACCTGAGATTTTAAGCCAGTAACAACAGAAGCAGTCAGATGCCCTCCGCAGCTACCTCCCGAGGAGCTGAATCAGCATTAACAGCACTGGGAAATGTTTGCAATAGTATCCTGAGTGTGGAGAAACCCCAGTGTTCCAGCATGCYGCTGCCAGTTCCCATTTTGATGAGTTTGACCCAAGCATTTAGCATTTCAACATCAGTTCTGTGTCTCATAATGCCATTTATGTAATGATTGCTCATTTGGTTCCCATTAAAATCATGGTATTTCTTCTGCAAACCACTGCTTGTAAAAATCAAGCCACCCAGTTTCTCTTTAGATTGTAAAAAATGAAATAAATAGTAGCATGCACACTGAAGTTCTCAGAAAATGGGGGGGCTTTCTTTTCCCTCTTTGACATACAATGTTCAGACATAGGAAGTTGGAATGTGAGAGATCTGTTAAGGGTTGATGAATCCATCTCCTGCAAAAACACAGTGTAGTTACTTCCCAGCAGATGTTCCTCAGGTACTATATTGATGAAAGTCTACAGCTCTCCATTGTCAGTGCATCACAAATGCTCTTAAAATCGGAGAAATTGAAGGTGTAGTCCTCTCAGGTATTCCCAGTGCCTCTGTACTTTGAGACAGTTCAGAATGATTCCTTGTRTTGTATATAACACCACTTGGAAGAATTCAGTTTCAAATGTCTCAAACAATGGGGGTTTCACCGCTTCCTGTGGGAGCCTGCTCTGCAGCCTAACTCATTTCACCATCTGGAGCGTTTTCCTGAGTGTCTGCTCACTTTAAACGTTCTTTTAATTGTGTACCCACTATTTCTCCTTAAAGGTAACTTGCCAAAAGTCTCTGTTGTGTGAAATTCACATTATGTTGTGCTTTTTTATTTTTTATGAAGATTGAGAAAATCCTGAAAGATTTATGGCTTCTTCTCTTTGCTTTTTTTCCTCAGAAATAATAATAAGTAATTAATAATGTATTACTGCTTTTTTAGCCATTAATCTCAGTGATTTACAAGGAAGGTCAACATTGTTGTACTCTTTTTACAGATGGGAAAAATTGAAGCACAGGGCAGGAAACAACTTGCCCAAGATCATTCAATGAGCCCATGGCAAGACTTGGATTTTTAAGCAGGTCTCCACAGTACTGCCCTACTTTTTTCTTACTCTTTTTTTTTTTGGCCCAGTCTAGTTCCCTTTGGCTTTGTTGGAGCACCTAGGAAGGACAAACTTTCCATGAACTTTATTCAGAATTGTAATATTGTAACTGAAAGGTCAGCTTGTTGAATATTTAACAGTTACTATCTTTCCAGTGTGTTGGTCAAGCATCCTAATTAAGCAGTGATAAATAAAACCAACAAAGCATTTTAACAGGCTAATTCAGTCCCTAGGGCCTCGGAGCTGAATTTCCTTCAGCTAGCCTGTGTTTTCCCAGTTGTGGATTGTGCAGATTGAACACGGTGTATATCAAGCACACTCTTATCAGCGCACTGCAGGGAGATTTCCTTCCTCCTCAGTGCCACCGTGCTTACTTCACCTGTCGTATTTCCCTTAGCCGTGGTTTTCAGTAAGTGTGTTTSTCAGAACCTGGAGAGCTGCTGAGCTATGAATCTTCCATTTTGGAGCAGTAACACCGCAATGTGTACAGCAGGATACCCTGGGCAGGGAGTGACGCTCAGCCAAGCCCTGAGAAGGCTTACCTGGCTGTCAGGAGCAGTGTGGCCTGAGCAGCACACAGCTCTCTGCGGGCTGCTGACAGATACAGGGCTTCTCCTACTTTCCCTAAAGCTGCTCCCTGTCCAGCCTGTCAGTTCAGTGAATATCTTTAGTGGGACTGGACTGGATGCTCCTGAAGACGTGGTAAGACGAGTGTTGTTCCTCACCTCCACATGGGAAGGCAAGAGCAGCCAAATCTGTGTGTTTGCAGTCTGGTGTGCAGGGGCCTCGTGCCTGCCCCACGCTGACTGCACATTGAACTGACCATGTCCATCACCTCCTAGGACTGAGAACTGAGAAACCAGGGCTCTGGTGGGCCAGCATTATAGCTGAGGGATAGCACACAGATCTTCCTGGCTGCTGACCATTTTCAAAGTATGCCAGTAAGGGAAGTCTGTAACATCTGAGTTATTCCCCTACTGCCCCTTCAGGCCTCCTTCATTCCAGTTATCATTGCACCAGCATCTGAGGATTTACTGAAAGCTGCAGGACTGCTGTAGGTCACTGAGCACATTATCTTTGCTTTCAAATTGAGTTTGAGAAACTGCCAGCAGTGTCAAGCCTATGTCTCCTGGCTATGTGAATAGAGGAAGCTAAGAAGCAACAATGATTACATAAAGCAGGGAAATTCCCCTCAAACTTGTCCCAGGCTACCTCAAACTCAAGCTGATTTGCATATTCTGTACAAATAACTGCAGTGGCTTCTAGCCCCATGAAAGGGTTACATGTCTTTGCTTATAATTGTGTAATCAGGCCAGTTCTCTGAGSTGAATCACTCCGAGAAGATGCAAAAGATCGAATCAGAGTCTGTGCAGAAATCTTAGCAGTTTTATGTAGCACATTGGCCTGCTCCACATGCAAATACAACTGGGTATTGCTAWTCCACGCAAAATCAATGGGATCTGTTCAATACCTATTAGTAACTAGCAGTTATTCTAGAAAAACAGTGTGGAAAAAAACTTGTGTTTTATAATTTGCGATTATGAATGGGTGATGTCATACATAGCTTCCTATACAAACCCTGTTTGGTAGAAAATGGACCTTACTGAAAATCAGAAAAAATCTATGGTATTCTCATAGTTAAAAACTATGGTCAGCCACTTTACAAAAACTGAGACTCATTTGGCCCGGAGCTCATGAGTGATGCTGTTCAAAAAGCAGAGGTGTTAAACAGACTTCCAAGATTCCTGTGATATGTTTTTAACATCATGGTTTAACAGAAACAAACTAGTGAGCAGAAGGAGACAGCATATTGAAAAAACACATTTACTGGGTTATCTCAGGCTCAGAAATGTAGTTGGCTAATACAACAATGCAAAAATATTTTTCATTATCTTTTATGGACTAAGAATAGCAATGTTCACAAGGCTGGTACATCATGACTACGGAATGCCTAGTTTCTTCTTGAACACAGGTGGTATTTTCTGTTCCCTTGCTTAGAAAGTTGGGCATGGGGATTTGTTTGTTTGAATAGGATAAGAATATAGACYTCTCAGAGGCTCACTGTAAGCTGTTTCTTTAGAAAGAATTTGCTCACTTACTCTTTTCTAGTTTTTTATTGAGATAAGTTCTCAGATACATTTCCTGTCAGCCCTTTCCCAGAGCTAGACAGAGTATGGACAACTTCACTTATTCTCTTCCAGTTAATTCACAGAAGGACTTTCTGTACATTTTTTTGGTTGTCAAGACAGTGCAATATTAACTTTAAGAACAGCTGGGTAGGAATATAACTTTAAACAATGCCGTAGATGTTTTGCAGTAAATACCATAGCTGTTTTAAACAGTCCTAGAGGTGCTTTTGTCAGTGTAGCATCTTTCTCTTGAGTAATACATGAAATTAGCATTATCATTATTGTCAGTGTAGTTATACCAGGACAGCTAAGCGATCAACTCCATTCTAGTGTAGTTGCTTTTCATATGCTAAACAAACAGGGCTAGAGAGGAAGAGGAAAGCTGAGGCACAGCTTACTTTGACAACCTGTGTAATAAGCCTTGTATTTCTTCTACAATATCACCACTGTTAATATTAATCATGACTGGTTACTGTGAAATACCCTGCCTTTCACTTTCCTCCTTTCTGCTTTATTGACTTTCTTCAAAGCTTTGGTGCAGCAGAGTAGAATCAGCCCAGGTATGAGCTGGGCTGTTTTGCAGAGTCCTTCAGGCACCTGAGGGGCTCTGTGCTRTGATGGAGCTTGTCTCGGTGGGTCAGCTGGAGAGACTGGAACAGAAATACATATTTAAATAGGCCTGGGATGCCTTGCAACACAGTTAATAGCAGCAAACCTGAGAACATGACATGATTTGACTCATGATTAGTACCCTTGATATTTTGGTTCTGGTAACTGTGTGTGTTTCTTCAGCTCRTGCTCATCAGCTTGCTGGTTGCTCAGGAAGGCTTTAATTTTGKTTTTAAATATTTCCTCTCACAAACAACAGTCTGTTTTCTACATAAAGTGTCTAATCACAGTCATTTAATATCCTTTATTTACACAGAGAGCTTCATCCCAAAGCACTTTACAGCCTGGTATTGATGTGGCACTCAGATTAGAAGAGGAGCATCTTATACTACTTGGGAGGCAGGCTTTGGTGTCAGCCTAGGCATTGATAAAGCATATAGAATGGAGCCATAATATTTTCACTGAATCCAAGGCAATTTGGTATTAGTTAGAAAATATATTGCTATAAGCTGTGTACCTTTTAACTCTAGAAAGGGTATTTGAACTATAGAACAGGAGCTGTAGTAGAGCTTGCACATCCCCTTCTCTGTTCATAGGTACTGGCTACCAAAAAGCAATTTTATTGGAAAATTAGGGTGGTGCAAAGTATCCTAGCAAGTATATTATCCTCAGCAAGTATATGCTGGCCTTTGGAGAGGTCTGTAAAGAATGGTAGAGGACTCTACATGGACTCTAAAGTTTGGCTCTGGAGTAMATCAGAAAATTTGCCAGCCAGAATGAGAAGGAGAGTCTGGACACTAGTTACTAGGACAACCAGACAAGCAGAAAAATGAGAATCGTTACATGTGCATCAATCCATTTTCAGCAAATGTGTGAAATTGTGAACTTATTACCTTGATTTGTTTTGTGTATTACATGGGTTTCCAAGTGGTTGTTTGCTGGAGGAGATGGCAACTTTGCAATCTTATTCAGAAATATTGGGATTGAGTTTTCTGTCTTTCTTGTGTGTTTCAGACCAAAAGGAYCAAACAAATTTAATTTGGGAAGGAACCAATCCTGCCCTGCAGCCCATACGAGTGAGGACCACTGCTTTGAAAGATACTTTACTTGATGCTGCTTTACCCAGCRCTGGTGGTGAGACTTCAAGCAATACATCAAATCTGTAGAAAGGACAAACAAAACCTCCCCAAAGACTTGAATGAATGACAACATCGCTTTTCAAAAATCTGGTGAAACAGAGAGTGAACATTCTTCTTCTTTTGTCTCTTCAAAGATTAACTTTAAAACCAAGTGCTGTTCTTTGTATATGTGGGGCCATACTTAACTCTGAACTTACGAAAAGTCTGTATTTTGTTTAGGCTAATTTAAGTTACTTAATAATAAAAGCCTATGAACAACATGCATGCTACTGAGGAAGAACAGGCCACATGTGCCTTCCTAATTCACCTCACCACCTCATYAATTTGGAGCAATCAACAGCCAAGCACAGGAGTGTCCACAGCCTATAACATAGTGAAACACTCACTTCTTTTTTATAAGAGAATGAACCTGCTTGTTGACTTGATTAAGAAGCAATAGTACAGCAAGCACTTATTCCTGTAACTCACTTGGAAATCATCAAAGATGACGTAAGAGTTGCAAATAGATGGGCTCTGAGTGTTCAGAATGTTAGGAGAACAGGTAGCAATCCAAACGGTGGGAAGATCRATGTGTGTTACAGCTGCCCAGCTTTCTCTGTCTTCAAAGCACTTTTGAAGTATTCACTACACAACTGCAAACCACATAACTATTTACTCACCTTCCAGACTTAGAGAACCTATGACTTGCTCAAGGCCGCTAAAAGCATCACTGTGCTGCAGTCAGGATCTGGTTGTTGCCAGCTCTCAAGCCTACAGGAAAGCCATGGGTTCAGTTAGTGCCAGCTGCCAATGCATGGTCACCATTGGCCTGAGAGGCTGGTTCTGTCCTTTGCCATCACAGGGAAAGCCTCCCTGAGCACCCTCGAGGGAAGCAGAATAACCTGTACAGAAATACGAGAGGTGTGGAGTACTGCTGAGGTGGCTGTGGGTAACCCAGCAGGGAATTCAGTCACCCTGAGGCCACCTGGGGCAGAGAGGTGGGCAGGTTGCCATCTGCTATTCGTGAGGCAGCCCRGGGTGATGAGAGATTTCCTGGGAGCACACAGCCCCTGTAAAAAAGTACTGCACACCCTTAACCATGGCAGTGCAAGAGACATGGAAGCTGGTGTCGCATCACTCGCAGCCACCAGACAGGGTGGCACGGAGAGGGCATTTCTGCAGCTATCTGCTTACACGCCTGCTCACACAGCTTTGGGCTCTCCTTTAACAAGGAAGTTTCCATCACAACAAGGAAGCTGCTGCATTTCAATAAGCTATTTCTAAAAGCTAATACATTTCACCCTGGGGAAGAGCAATTTTCCAGCTTCAGTGTTACCAGTTTTGTGCTTTGAAGAGACCTTTGTAACGTGTAATTTTAATTTTGTTTTAGCTAAGATTTAGATTTTCTTCTTGACAGTGCTGCACTACTGGCCACTCAAACCCTGCTGAACTTGCTTGTCGCCATTTTATCTTGATATCTTGTAAATATTTGGTAGAGCACTCAGACAGAGAAGTGTTTTTTGCTCTTACAGTCACATGCCTGCTTCCAGGACCTTTCAGAAGTACAAAAGACTGAAAGCAGGGAAAATTCCATTGAGATACATTCAAGTCTCCAGGGAGCAACTGCACTCTGTTTAGACTAAAAATTCTCATTGCTGCCTCTCCCTGTTTTAAAAAACATGGAAGGATAGAGAGGGGAAACTAGAGAGTTTCATTATTGTAAACATGCAAGCACTGTTTTCACTCATGAAATGCAAGCACAGTTTTCACTCATCTTTTTAATATTGCAGAACCATTTCCARTTGAAGAGGGAGATAAGCTTTTCAATTCTCTCTGCACTACCAGGGAAATTTCCATCCAGTTCTAAAATGTTTTACAACCTAGTGAATTAAAGCTTAATCCCCTTCTTCTCATCCCCATGAAGCAAGTACAGTTTAAAGACGGGGCTAATAAGACTAAAATAGTTGTGCTTTGCAGAAGTCACATGGGCAGCATGGTAAGAGGACTTTGGTCTTTGAGTCCCAGCATTCTGTCATATGGCACAGACAACACACATTCTCTCCCTTTCCAAGGGTTTCCTCTATTTCCCTTCCTAGGATATAGTGGAAACATGTTGGCATCATACCTTGAGATAACCTTGAGTTTTGCCCATTGCTCACAACTGCTGTCCCATGGAATTAAGATATTGAAAAGATCAAAGAGGAATGTGAAGTGGGGGAAAAAATTCAAGTCACTGCTTTGAGTATGTTCTGCCTCCACTGCTGCCAGTGGAGTTGGTGGTCTATTGGGAGCAACCTCAAACATTTTTACATGTACTTCCATATAATGTTCAGGCAGGACTGTAGTAGAAGTGCCATAATCAAAAAGAGAGCTTGGCTGACAGAAAATTGGACAGATGAGCCAATAAGACACTTCTGTATTGAATATATGTAATTTCATTATCCTTCTATTTGTGACCTGCGTTTCTTACTGCTTCTTATTACCAGAATCTTGTAATTATTGCTGCAGCCATCTCTTTCACCTCTTCAGAACAGAGGGGTAATCCATCAGCCAGTTCTTCTCCAGTGGTATGAGTGAGCTTTTTACCAGGGGAGTTGGCCTCAGTTGAAGAGGCCAACAGGGCCCAGCAGGCCAAGCAAAAAGCAATGTATACAAGTCATGGAGTGGAAGAGAATAAAACATTTACAGTTTTAAAATTATTTTTCCCTTAGCTTCCCTTGATCACTCTGATAGATAACAAGACGTGCAAAGCTGGATGTGTACTGACAGTGGCCAGTGTCAGCAGGAATGAGAGCTTCTCGCACTGTGCAGACAAACCTGAAATCAGTCAGCTCCCAAAACCAGATCAGTGTGCACCAGCTATTCCAGTCCCTGTAGCTGAGAGATACTGGGAGGAAAATCAGTTCTCCTGTCTGTCCTGTGACCTTACAGCATAGCCCAGCACTAGAACCTTTGGTCTCTTAAAGCTGTTACCTTCTGTGACAAGGCCCCAGCACTGTTCCTTGGGTAAGCTGCTCCTGTAGCACCCTTCCCCACAGAGGATCCCGACTCACTGCAAATGCTGTGCACAGTGCTCATTTCATTCCCTGCTGAAAGGCAGCCAGGCCTGAGGTGGAACATGGCAAGCGCCTCRCCGCACCTGGCAACTCCACACAGCTGCTGAAAGCGAGTGAGGAAAAAAGCAGTGTACAAATGCAGGGGAATTTTCACATAGGCAGGATGTAATTAGCAGAGCTGGAATCTGGCCAGAGCGTGGGGTTAAAACACTGGCTTGCAGGTAACACACTGGGATCTTTCATAATTCAAATGCTCAGGATCTCCCGTTTCCATTTTACCTGGAAGATGTCAGAGGACCGTTCCCTGTTTAATGGTCATGGGCAGCTCTCGAACATCTGACACAAAGGAAGAAGTGTCTGAATGGTGCTGCACCTGCAGAGYTTCTCTGCCAGCAATTGCCCACCATGAGCAGCAGCTGAAAGGATCACACGCTGGCACGGCTACGGCCGTGCTGCTGTAAAACACGGCTCCGTGCCTTGGGGTTCACTTCACCCCTGACCCTCAGTACTCACTTTTCAGGCCCCAAATTCCTTCCAAACAGAAAGAGAAGATGATACAATTAGGGCAACACCTCACACATAAAACACAAGAGAGAGAATATTACTGTTAAGTGCTGCTTTCCTATTCTCTGCTATTTGAAATAGTACCAGATAGCTATTGGAGAACAGAGAACAGCACTTCCCCCAGTGTAGATGAGTGAGCTTTTCCAACTGGCCTTGCTGGTAATACACAGACCGTGAAGAGCTTTTGCCGCCTCCTTCCTTCCAGCTGGGAAATCACGTTCAAAGCAGCAAAACTTCTTTTTCCACTTCATGATCTCATTTTCTGTATAAGCAATTTTTGTGTTTACTACAAGGATGTTGAATGTCCACAAAAGGTCAAGGAAGTCATTCACGAAACTCACGTGTGTAAAGCCTCCACAATGTTTCTACCATGATGTGGCCCACGGTCTGAAATATAAATAATTGCAAACCTCTAAGCCCTCGTCAGTCAGACCTGCAGACTTGTGCAGTTAAGGAGCTGACTTCCTCTGTGGTGCAGTGTGTGCAAGCAAAACAAGAAGTGTTCTTGCTATCTGAAAAAGCATAATCTCTGCGTCAGTAAGTCATAAAAAAGGGACCCCTCCTCTGCCTTTGAGKGCTTCCCATGCCAGCCTTTGATTTAGGGGAGGGGCTGGGAGGGGGAGCTTGTTTGCTTAGGCTGCCGTGTAAGCCCCCTCTTTGTCAAGTGTCGTTTAATACAACCACCAACCAAACATGACGAGAGCACCTCAGTCAGTGGGACAACAAACCTACACACAGCCTCCAGTGGCAAAGTGTGCTGGGGAGAGTAAAGAACGGGCAGCTGCAGGCAACAGGAAATCCAGCACTAATAAATAAAATGTCTTATAGCCAGAAAGAGGAAATAAACAGCAGCAGCACAGGCTGAGAGGACAGAAGAGAGGAACACAGCATAACTGTGGCATGGGAATCACTGAGTTACAGTGAGCTTATTTTTACAGAACGTTGTCCTGGTTTGTTATGTGTTCAGACTGCAAAAAAAAAAATGGGGGAGTGGGGGCACTGCTCAAAGAGAGGGGCTCTATCAGACGTTGTCAACAACCACTGTAATTAAGGAAGCAGCCAGAGCACACACAACCAGAGCTGCTGCCAAACTGAAATGAAAGCATTTTTTGTTTTCAGCCTTAGCCCCAAAGGATAATAAAAGATGGTTCTACCATGCCTAGTGAGGAGCTGCAGGGACACCATTTCTCAATGGCCCTACTCTCACCTTTCCAAAATTACACGCTGTGGGGAAGCAGCAAGTTACCCTTCCTAAGTGTGCTTTCAAATCCCATGCCCACACACCCCATCTGACTGCAGCCACCTGGGAAGGCCAGCCACAGGCCAGGTGGGCCCCTGATCACTGTGGTGACAATGGAGGTGGCACCAGCTGAGCTGTGCCCACTGCCTGGTTCAGATTGCCAGAGCAGTAACACTGAACTTTCCCCCGTTGCACTCAGCCGTGGGTTGCACCACAGCCCCATGGCATTGCCACCAGCAGTGGGAGCTGCCGCATTCACAAGAGCTGCTCCCCGCTTTCCTCCTGAGGGCAGCTGTGTTTGGGGGCTCGCTGGTGTCTTTGAAAGGACCTTGGTTCGTGGCACACCGACACGGTGCTCTTCTTGCTGTTGGCARCATAGGTGGCCAGCACCCAAGCAGCAGAAGGTGCTGGCAGATCTCAACCGTGGGACATGAGGCTTTCCCTGGTGGCTGTACAAACTGGTGTGCAGATTCAGCGAAGGGAAAGAAGTCATTCAGAAAGTGCATGCATATTTCTGAATTCATTCATTGAGTGGCGTTTGCCTTTCATCCTCCCCCCTGAGCTCAGTGTGCATTGCTGGCATTCTCTCCCAATCCTATATAAGAATTCCCGATCTCCACAATCCACCGCCTGCCAGTGGAGCCCACAGTCAGTGGACCGCCAGCCCGGTCACATGAAAAGTTACATGCAAAGGTTTAATGCTTTCTCCTGACCCCAGCCCCTGTTCCTGTGAATCCCCTGCAGTGTTTTCCTAATCAGGTGCCAGGGAAGCTTTGCACTGAGCAGGGCGCTAAGAAGTGGCTGTTTAGCAGCAGCATTTTCAGAGTCTTTGAGCTCTCTCCTGAGCTGTGAATACAAGCAGTGGAACCAGGTGAATGTCTGACAGGGTTGCCATTTAGACCTGAAGCTGCTTTCTGACCAAAGGCACATTGCAGTTGCCTCACTTGCCCTATCCCATCCGCCACAGTAATGGTTAATTGCTTCAGCTTGGTATGGAAATCACTTCTCAAAGCCTGTACACAAGGTACACAGCTATGGCCCAGTAGAATTTTAACCTTCGCTGGACATTGACAATATGTCTGTTACTAGGGGGTCAAGAAGAAAATACAGTCCTTTCCCTAAAACCTTCCATTACTGAATGCTAGATGATGCAGGTATTTAGTTTATCACACAAATTGTGAGGTAACATATTTACTTTCACATGACCCCTACTTACRGCACATCAGAGAAAACACATGCTTTTGGAGAATCTCAAATGGAAGTGATCTTTTATTAAATGCRGATGAAAAGCAGAAATATTCAAGGGCTATTTCTGATATATCAGCAGTTACAGTCATTTCCTGCTGTCACTATTATGTGAGGGAGGGCAGGTATCTCCTGCAGGAAGAGTTCCTTTTCTGCACCTGATGTTTTCATGGCAGATTTCACACATGGTGTATGATTCATCAACTGCAGCTCAGCCTTTGGAATCATAGGAGTTGAGTCTGGTGGTCAGGGCCCAATGTTCCTCTGGGTTTCATACAGACCACAGAAAGACAAGATAGTTGCACCTTTGAGCCAAACAGTTGGATAATTAAACTGAGCATTGATATCAGTTTTGGTTCTTTGTTTTCTGAAGGGGAAGGGTCCAGCATGTTATGAACTCCAGCCTATACTTACATTTTTGTGGGTTTAAGTGAAAAGACCAGGCAAAGTTTTAAGTTGCAGTCTGATTTTATATGGTTCTGATTTAAGCATTGCCAACGTTACTTTCAAAAACAAACAACAAAAAAAAGCCTCCAAATTGACAGTGTTTTTCAAATTCTCTGCTTTTCTCATGTATTCAAAAGTGTAAGCCTGTTCTGCTTGACTGACTGGCTGTTTGATTATTGCTTTACATTATATTACACTGTTTAATTCTTACCTGTAAGCCATCAAAATCTGAGTTCTAGTCTCAGCTATACTCAAACACAACTACTGAAAAGTGGTTTGTCTAACTAAGTATATATGGCCTTTTAAACTTTGCTTAAATTGTATATTCCCAACTCCATGCAAACAAGAGTTGAGAAATCATGCTTTTCCCAGATGAGAGCACATCTAAATAATACAGGAATTACTTTTCTCACTCAAAAGCATAAGCAAAATACATGCATAAATACTGGGGTTTAATCAGCCAGTGCTGTCTCTTTATTTAAAGTAAAAACTTAACCCTTCAGCAGAGATTCTGGTTAGCAGTGAGAAGGGAGACAGATCTAAGCACTCAAATGGTAACATGTATAGAAAAAAAGTGTAAATCAGAGATGCCTGTGCCTGTGATCATCTGGCACTGCCCACCCTGCCACATGACAGCCAGGAGATCCGCAAGGAGCAGTTTCCATTTCTGGGAAGTGCAGTGAAATGGGGAACACACCAATCTCCAAATTGTCTTTCCTTCTATGAAGTATTGTCTTCAATATATGGCTTGACATTCAGTCAGTCAAATATTTTGACAATTTGAACAAATAAGCAGGAAATGGTTTTAATTTTGAAGAAAGAATAAGTGAAGAAGAATAAATAGCGCAGCATGTGCCATGTCTCTTAAATACCCTTGTTTGCCAGAAACATAATGCAGCGTGTTTCCCAGGCTGCAGAGTGGTTATCCTTTGCAGGATCACCCTTCTGTCTCACACACCATCCCCAACCCTGCATCGGGCTGGGGTGAAAGGAAGCGTCACTCTGAATTACTCAGCTGTTACCTGTTCATGAAGAGAGGGCACATGTGCACGTAACACGTTATTCTGTGCACGTTTCTGAGAAGGGCTGTCTTTGCAGTCACCTCACAGCAGCACAGACGAGCAGTAGTGAGGCGAGGTGGTGCATGAATGGGCACCTGAGAGCCAAAGCTGCTCCTCTCCCCACCCTGCTGGGAGAGCCAGGCCCGTCTGTGCGAGCACACTGCCACAGCGTCCCTTCGCTGGAGCCCAGCGCGCTGCGCTTGGGGACATGCCAGAGGAGCTTTTGTCTGTGCTTTCACCGCGGGTTTAAGTAGTTCCATTAGCATTTGGGTCAGAGCACATGGAGCAGCCCCGGCTGGGGTGGGAGAAGTCACACTGTGAGGCCACACTTGAACGTGGCCACTTTAGTGCACCGCCCCGGCTACAAAGCCTRCTTGTGTGGGGCACGTCCCGCCGTGCGTCACGCTTTGGTTGTCAGTGGCAGTCATGGGTTGCTGGGGGGTGACACARTAACCTCTTTATGCTTAAAAGAATAGCGGGGGGCATTGCAGGAGACCATTGGAAACAGCAGCAAAGAAGTGGTTTGGCTTTTGTCTGTCCCCCAAGGTAAGGTGCCCAGGCTTGCTGAGCTGCCTCTGCTGTCTGAAGGAGTGCGAGTAAAGCAGCATCGAGGGTGAAAGTGGGACTTTGGGTATCTGGATGGGAGAGGAGTTAAAGAAACACCCAAAGAAGACTCCATGTTACCTCTGTGGTAAAAACATGATAAAACTGCTTGTTTAGGGTAGAATTTTACAGCAGCTCACTCTGAAGCCTGGGCTGCCAGAGCCTTGTCACCCCCAGTGCCTTCAATACAAGAGCAGCCACACGGGGAATCGGCTCAAAGAGATGATCTGTCTGGAAATTAAACTGTGTTTTTTTAATTACTAAAATACATTTGCTTTACTGGAATGTCTCAAAGTTTCATTCGAAGAGAACTGGAAAAATAAAAAGACTAGGAACAGAAAAGGCCAAAAAAACATAAATTTGAAAAAATACTGATACAGACTATAGAAGTTAGTTATATCTCTTACTRTATCTATCACTGTCTCTTTTGCCAGCCCCTCAGCCATACACTCCACAAAGCAGTAAGCTTAAATAATTCAGATATGCTAAGCAAAGCTATTCTGAATATGGCTTGTGGCCTAATAAGTCAGAGGCTTATCCAGTTCCCATGAAAAACATCAGGAAAATTTCCTTCAACACTAGTAGACATAAGATTGGATTGCAGAACAACCACATAACTTTTGACCAAAATGTGAAGTTTTTCTAAAGCATTGATAAAATKTTCATGCAGGAGAATGTGGAAACTCTGACTGGAGCAGTCACATTACTAAATACATTTCAAGCGAGCATAATAATTTTTGAAACGACACTCGTTCTCACTAGTGATGTGTGGTCTAAGGGGAAAATACAAAACAAACTTTTTTTTAAAGGAAAAAACCATTTATAATTTCTTTATTGTGGATGTGCAGAAAGACACCCCCTCTGCTGCTGGGAAAACGAGTTTCTGCTCAATAAGCAGTAAAGCATATCCTAATTTTTTAAAAGCATTTGTTAGGCAAAACAGGGCTTTTTTATGATGCTTTCTTTTTTTTGCAGTTGGAGCCTTTCTGTTGATGCCAGCTGCTTTAGTTGTAGGTATTTTCTGGGAGGTGGTGTCTGTCAGTCCCACGTGGGTGTCCCCTTGGCTATCTCTCATAGCAGCCCTTCTATAAATCACAGCATATTAAAAAAAGAGGGGATAACGCTGACATGTGAACTAATCCCCACATCAAAGAGAGCAACTCTCCCTCCTCCTAACACCCACCCCCCTCTTTTGCTGGGAAAAGTCTAACGCCTAGAAGGTGATTTACACAGAACTTCATCCCAGTYGTTAGGAAACTTGCAGTGCCGCTTACTTGCCAGCTGCAGAAAAAAMCTGGGAATCAGGGTAACCACAATAGCTAGCCTGCGGCTTCCAGCATTTGGCAATTTGGGAGAGAAAAAAAAAACCATTGGCTTGTTTCAACAAACTTGTGTATATGTTGATTGCATGGCAGAATAGGCATGTACATAGACAGATGCAAACGTGAGCAGTACTGTGGGTCTGTCTGGGCRCATCTGGGTGTGTGTGGGCACATCTACATCT